CCCGAAATATTAATGGCCAGATTCGCGGGATAAACTACTATATTGTCTCGCTTACCTTTGACCTTTTATTTCTTAACTGTTACTGTTGTTTCGCTATAGCATTGATTCTTATCCCTGAACTCCATCCATATATATATATATATATATACATACATATATATATAAAATAAGTAAACTGCGAATATTTATGCAAAATACTTAACTGAATGTTTTACATAAAATGTATATTTTGCATAAATTGCATAAATTGCATATTTACGAATAACAATCTAACCTTTTTACTTTACTTTTTAATAACTCTTTATTAAATACATCAACTGTTAAAACTGTTCGATATAGTTAATATTCAGTAAGTATTTTGCATAAATATTCACAGTTTAATAATAAGTAAGATGTATCTATTTATGAGCTGAATCTCTATATCTATGAATAAATGAAGGATTTAATATAATAATTAATATTCAACTTTTAATATTTCGTATATTATTTACTATACTTGTAGCTTATAAACTAAAAATAATATTTACCTTCTTTTTTCCACCAAAAAATTATTATTCTAATCAAGCAGCTCATAATTGGTAAAGTTAATTGTAAATTATCTAATATCAGTAAAATATCTCCATAAACTGTTATCAATGAATGTATTGAAGGAATAAAAAGGCAGAACGTTATTCCCAGGAAAATTATTAGCACTCGAAAATTGCACATTAACTTTTGCCGAGGATTTTGAATGTTCTTAGGCCAAAGTCCAAGGAAATTTAAAGTGAAACGGTTTAGTCTCACCGCCCATTCGAAAGTTGCAGTAACCTTGATAAGTCCGAAGATTGTTAAAAAGATTACACAATTCCAAATATAGAGGAAAGTCACCGATACCGACATATCACTTTGTTTTTAGACAATATTTCTTAAATAAAAGATAAAAATAAAACTTTAAAAACATAAATACAAACTAACTGTCTTCCATTAAATAGTATAAGCAGTTTTTATAATACTATTTGCAATTTTGCAATAATTAATTTTTTTATTAGGCAAGGAAAAATGAGCGTTTGACAAAATGAGCTCCAAAATTGACTCAGTAGGTAGTAATGCTACGTATTCCTATTTTTTTCTTTTACAGGAATTATCTATATAAAATATTTATAAGTGAATGTATACAAGATATTCCAAAATCTTTTCACTTTGTTACAAAACATTTTTATTGAATTATATTTACTTTATGCATATTTACTTTATGCTGTTCTCTGCAAGATGCAACTATTGTATGCAATGCAATAACTTTTCAAGATATATAATAATGCAATAATTTTTTCATATATGCATCAAATATTTCCATATATAATATGATTGTCTTCAGCTGCAATAGAGCTATTTGACACTATAAAGCAACATTATAAGGATTAAGTTAACTTATGATCTGTTTTACAGGTGTAGCAATTTACGCTGCACCCCAATTTTAAATCTAAAATCGTATTATGAAAAAACTAAGAGAAAAAAATAACAATATTAAATAAACAATATTAAGAATCTTTATTTTAGACCGCATATGTAAGAAACACAATCAACACTAGAAATTTAAAATGCCTATTACGGTCGAAGCTGGATCTTTATTGCTTTAAATAATTCAATCTTGAATTACTAATATACATTATATATGTACTTGCGTATGTATCATATTGTAGTCTTTTAGAAGTAAGTAGTCTTTTAGAAATAAATAATCATTTAGTTGTTTCTTTATTGTACCGATTATTGCGAAGAATATTACTAAGGCCTTGATGGCTTAGGTCGCTCGTACAAGAAATCCAGGTTCAAGCTCGAACGAGGTAATATTTTTCGCAATAAATTTATTAACAGTTTCAACATATTAACATCTTTATAATATGATGCTTGAAGGTAGCATCAAATTATTTAAATTGCTTGTAAAGTTAATTCGCGATTACTACATAGAGTGGTTTATAATCCGGAAAAATTCAGCGCGCAGTTCTAAAAGACTACAATATGGTATATATGCAAGTACATATACAGTGTATATTTAATTCAAATTGAATTATTTAAAGCAATGAATTTAAAGCAATGAAGATCCAGCTTCGACCAGCTAATAAGCATTTTAAATTTCTAATATAAATAAAACTGATTTAGGAAATTATAAGCATTTAAAATAACATAATATTATTAATAATATATATAGTCACTATTATTTAAATTATGCAATTTGCAAAAGAAAATCGTATTTTAGAATTTTATTTTCGCATTCGTAGAATTCGTTTTTAACTAATTTAATATAGAAACAAACCACAAATACACGAATTATGAGTTTGTACTTCTTTAATTAGCTAAACAGATGATTTTATTAGTATTAATAAATTGCAATTATTATAGTTTCTGAGAAATAAAGAAATGTTACTTTAGAAGACCTATGTCAGTATCAGCGACTTTCCTCTACTATAATTAGGCTAACACCATAATTAGGGCCAATATACAAAAAGTTATTTAATGAAATACATTTAATACTATATCGCACAATTTTTGCTTAGAAGTTTAATCATATAGAATTATTATTCATAAGAAGAAACAAATAACTAATAATAAATATGATTGAGCTTAAATGTAATTAGCTAACAGGTTACAACATGTCATATAATATAATAACATAATGCAGATATTAATGTATCTATATAAAGAACATTCCATCTTAAGTGTGCTACTCGTGAATTTTTGGATTTTTTATTTGGCTGAAATTTTGATATATTATAGTATTCATCGGAAGAAGCTACCATGATTTTTTTCAAATTATTTTATCAACATAGAGATATGAATTTTTTTTCAAAATTCGCAATTCCAGTTTTCGAATGCTTATAATTTTGCGAAAAATAATTCAAATGAAATATTTTTATTGTTTGTTTTTTTTCTTTACTTAAAATAAAATATTAAAAAAGTTTCAAAAATTAAAAAAAATTTTTTAGTTTGAAGTAAAAAATTATCAATTTTTGAAAATATGATATTTAATTTTTTTCAAAATCTTTTTTACTGTCCCACTAATATCATCACAAGGACCTTTACTATGAGCAGTAGCAAAAAAATGCCATTCAGCTGATATTTTAAAATCATTCTCATGATAATAGACGTTGACAAAAATTTCAAAAATTCTGTCAACGTCTATTATCATGAGAATGATTTCGAAATATCAGCTGAATAGCATTTTTTTGCTACTGCTCATGGTAAAGGCTTTTGTGATGATATTAATGGGACAGTAAAAAGGATGGCTGCACAAGCTAGTCGGTAATTACAGTTCAACAAATAATCACTCGAATTGTATGCATAAGCTTCCAAATCAAACAATATTTCAAATAACTGTTTATTTTTCATCATTGAAAAATTATATTGAAGCTGCAGGAAAACTTAGTGATATAAAAACACAAAAACAATTTCAAAAATTCAAAAATTACATTGCATCAAACCTAATAAAGATGGTTGTATCATTTTATAAAAGAGTATTCTAATTCTGAGGAAGCTAGAGTATGCAAATTGTTTAAACGTTCAAGAAAATAAATTTGGATACTTTCTCGACAAAAAATATTTATTGGTTTTTTAATTATAAAAAAATTTGTAATTTCTCAAAAAAATTATAAAAATATCAAAGTAAGTTATTTATTACATTGAGAATAAATTAAAAATTGTAGATCATAACAAAATCACGATTTCATATTATTTTATTGCGTAAAAAACGAAAATTGAAAAAAAATTGTTTTAATTTGAAAAAAATAGAAAGAAAAGCTTTCCCACGATTACACTAGTCTTAAAAATTATTAAATTGATCAAAGTTTTTATGACAATTTTTTGGAAAAAATTAAATGTGTTATACTTTCCAAAATTGATGATTTTAGTACACAATTATTATTAATGTACGTTACAATTCTTCTTTATTCTTCACCTATATTTCCGACTTTTCCAGCTGTTTTTAGCCATCTTCATGGTATAGCATATTAACATTAGGCTTAATAATCCAAAATTTAAATGCAATTATTCTCAATGTAGATCAAACATAAAAGCCAATTACGCAAGAACAATGACATTAGATCTGTCATAGCTGAACATGAGTTACAGCATAATCATGCGATAGGTTGGGAGAATGTCAAAGTGATAGATAGAGAGAGATATCTCGAGAAGAAATTAGTATCTGAAATGATACACATAAAATTGCAAACAAATGCGCTCAATTTACAGACGGACACCAAATTTTTTCGCCATGGATACATCAATTCTTGATCAATTTAATAATTAATATTATGTTTTTTAAAAAGATGTTATATGTTTTGTTCATTAGATTATTGGTATGTTTGTCAAACTGACTTTATTTTTAATTTATAATTTTAAATTACGTAGATTACATATTTATAATTTTAAACATTACGTAAATATGGACGAAGACACACGTCTAATCGTTAAATTTTATATAATTTGTATTCTTAATTATGCGTAATAGGATGGAAGTGCAAATTACTAGTACAACCTGTGAGTTTTTTAAATGGAATGAACATAAAAAGCACTTTTGTTATTATAGAATGGGATTTTGTATTTAGATCTTACAAATATTGAATTTGTTAAGAAGAGCTATTCACATGAATAATTCTCCATAAATAAAGAATTACTCTGAGTTAATTAATTATGCCTACATTCAGAATAATTATATTTAAATTTTGAATTATTAAGCCTAATGTTATACCATGAAGATGGTTGAAAAAAGCAGTCGGAAATATAGTACAGGTGAAGAATAAAAAAAAATTGTAACATACATTAATAATAACTGTGTACTAGCTCTTAGTTGACTATTGTTTTTGTAATATTGTTTTTAATATTAATAGCTCGATTAATTTATACAATTGATGATTTTTTACTTCAAACTAAAAAAAATTTTTTTTAAATTTTTTAAACTTTTTTGATATATTTTTTTAAAGTAGAGAAAAAAACAAACAATTTTTAAAAAACGTTTTATTTGAATTATTTTTTGCAAAGTTATAGACATTTGAAAACTGGAACTGCGAATTTTGAAAAAAATGTATACCTCTATATTGATAAAAAAATTTGAAAAAATCATGATAACTTCTTCCGATGAATATAATATATCAAAATTTTCCAAATCAAAAATCCAAAAGTTTACGAGTGGCACACTTGGGATGGAATGCCCCATATATTAAGATTAATTCAGATATTAATAAAAAACACGATACATTAAATACATTAAAACGATAAAAAGCAAAAATTCATAATTTCTGTTAATGATATGATATAATAAGACATAAATTATTATTATTACAAATATTTTCACATATTGCAAATAAAGTAAATACTTTCTTAAAATTTTTTACAGCTACAATAATCAAGTACCTCGGTCATATTTCAAACTTTCCATGTCCAGTGTTCTCTAAAGACTGACGCCTTTGCATGTTATGAATCGATGTTACCTCTTGAACAACAAAAAATATTTCTTGTGCGCATGCTCTTAATATTCCTTCTTGAAAGTCGAACAATCGACTTGTAACAAGAAGTTTTAAATCTGTGTTCTCTTGTTTCAAATTTTCATCAAATTTCCAAGAATTTCACGTGAGACATTTGTGAATAAAAAATTGCAAGTTGATTATGCTGTTGAAAAAAGCGTACGTATGTTATATTCCCACGTCTGAAAAAGACTATAAAATTTTAAGTTAATTTACTCTCTGTAGTTAAGAAGAATTCATATTAAGTATCATAATATTTATGCTATTCATTTTTTAATAGAAAGAATATATTGCAAATTGCATTTCATTTATTTATTATAATACGATATTAATATATACGTTATTAAAAGTCAAAGAATTTTAATATGTAATAATTATAAGTGCAAAAAAATTTGTCCTATAATTAATACATTAATCCAAAATAATATTTAATTCATAACATTTATGGAACAAATTGAAACATTCCAGAAAAGTAACAATCTCAGATGAAGGAATCGCAGTGCATAAGTCATCGACATATCGAAAAAAATATATGATTTTTAAACATTATACTTAATGTCATCTTCTCTAATTTTTGCATTACTAAATCAGCAATAATAGATGACAAAGGAGAGCTCATGGGTGTGCCAAAATTCTGTTTGTAAATAATATTATCAAATAAAAAATAAGTGGAATCTAAAATTAGTCAAACTGCAATCAAAAACTCCTCTTTAGGTAAATTACATTTTTCCGAAATAAAATTTCAGTTGTCATTAATACAATTTAAGGCTATGTCTGTCGGAATGTTTCTAAAAAGTAAAACCATATCTAATGAAATTAATTTATAATTGTCTATATGTATTTCTCTGAGCCATCAACGAGTTGAAAATTATTTTTTATATATTAGGTGTTGGAATTAATTCGTAGCGTTTTTAATGAAAGAATGTTATTTATTTCACATGAGCATTAAAAAATACATTAATGAAAGTACTTCCCATCACTTGTAAAACGCTACGAATTAATTCCAACACCTAATAGTTTTCCGCTTTTGGAATTGTCTTAAACATTATGTTATGTAAAAAAGTGGCAAATAAATTAAAAAACATAGTCATAAAGAATACCAAATGTGTAATAAATAATTTCCTTTGTCAAATATCCAGCAAACGAGAATGGATTAAAATGGATTGAAATTTTTTTCCATTCAAATGCGTATTTTAAATAACTTTTTTTTTGGATTCAATTGGCTTCAATTAGATTCAATTGGATTGAAAAACTGCATTTCCTATTCAAAATTTTGAATTGAACAGAATTCATAATGTGTGTGTTGTGCACAGAAAAAGCTAATATTATTTTTAAATTAAAAAGCATGAAGGTATGCTCCATGCAATTCCTATAAATGAATAAAAATGTATTCAGGATTTAAAAGCATTCATTTTAACATTCGTGAATCAATATTTCTGAAAATCTGAATCCATTTCAATCCATTCTCATTTGCTGGATAGCTATATGAATTTATAAAATGCTTGATAGAAGCATTTTTGTAATTAAAATTTAAATATTAAAAATAAAATAGCTTATAAATATAATAACAATAGTATTTCTTCTACTCTCTAAATCTAAATCAGTGAATATTCACTAATTACCCAGTGACATACTTAGCACTGATACATTATACGTATCCTCAACAATAGCAATGAAAAAAGCTCGTAAAAAAGTTTTCGTAATAACAGATTATAATAAGTATTAGTTAATAAGTGTTAGTAAGAAATAATTCGTGTTAATAACAGTAATAAGTGTTAGTTAGAAAAACGCATCATATTCACACGTTTTTACAATCAGCTGTAGCTTATAATGTTACTATACTTAAGAATTAATAATAAATTATGTAGCATAGAATTTTGCATTGTATGGTTTTTGTCTTTCAAGATAAATAAATTCGCAAAAATTTGTGATTGTTGACATTGCTATATATATAACTAATAGTGTGAGAAATAATACTAATAAACACATTAATTCAAAATAAGATATAAATAATAAATAATAAGTTAAATAATCTAGATATTGTTAGATAATTATTAAATGATACATTTTTAAGATAGAAGCTATAAATACTAAAAATTAAATTGTTTATAAGTTGAAAAATTTTTCAACTTATTGAAATCAAGAATCATTTTCTTGAAGACTTAAATGTTATATATTTGAATTTATTAGAGTAATTTATTTTAATATAACTTTAATTTACGATACTGAAGAGGAGATTTAAACCAGATTCTCTATCTTTTAATACAATTATTGAGTATTAATAAATTATTTTTCATTCATTGAAAACTATCTGTCGCATGTACAAAGTATTTTACCTATAATTAACTATGTATTTTTAATGTATCAATTAATTTATTTCATTATTCTATGCATGAAAGTATTAAAGTACGTTTATACAAAAAATTATAGTTTAAAAAATATTTTAAATACTTTATTCTGATACATAATTTTGACATAAAATGTCTCATGAACTATATAACTTTTTAACATCTATACCTTAATATTTTTATGTAAAATCATTAATTATAGGAATCATACATATAAAAAAAGATAATACAATTCCATTTAAAAAATGATAATGATTTTTACATAATTATGAGAAGTTATTTTTTTCAAAAATTTTACTGTTATTTCTACTTTAATAGCAAAATATATATGTGCAAAATAATAACATTGTTAAATTATTGATAAATTCATTACGATAAGCACAGCATCTTATATTTTTTGTCAATGTCTTCGTTTTATGTAATGTTGCTATGTAATGATTACGTGATCAAATATGAAGAATATGGGAAGTAATGCAAAGGTAAAAATGTAGAAACTTAAAAATTTATAAAAAATTAATATTATATAAAAAATTAATGTTAGGATTATTGAAAAGATAAGGAGTTCTAATTTTTATAATAGAAGTTTTCCTATATATAGTTACAATAATTCAATATATGTGATAATAAGATAAAAAAATATATGGACGAGTATAAGACGTCACCATCATGACATTCACATACGCTATTTGGCAAACGTATTATTACCTATAGGTACGTTGTACAAATGATAACATTATGTTTTTTATAATGTTATTATCTTCAAATGAGACTCTTTGTTTAATTGGGATCGAACTTTGGTGGGTTCGTTTGACTATTCAATTATGTATCAACTTGCGTGTCTTAATATCATAGATGTTCCCTACGTATGTAATCAAACAATCAATCATGCACACGTGGGAATAGATTATATGTATTGTATTCTTATAATTCTTATTATACGTACAATCATACATCATATAAGTATAGCACATTATTGTATAATTTATTCATGATGATTTGGTTAAGTAGAGGGACTTTCTTCTATATTATTATCTAAGAGTATGGTCAACGCAATGTTGCAAATGCTTTGAGGCGTTTTTTAATTGGACATTGTAAAATTCTTTCTTCTAATTGGTCCATCAAATGTTTCAAAGCATTTGTAGTGAGACTTTAACTACAGTAAATCACTGTATTATTGCCTACATATATTGTTTCCTACATGCACTTTTACACACAATTTAAAATTTATAAAACAAAATCATATTGAAGATACTAAATGCAAAAAGTTATCTACTATATATATTTAAACTTTTGTATGCGAATAATCAAACAAAATAAAATATTTTAAGGTATAAATAAATATCAAAACTGTATAGTAAATTATAGAATATTAGTAGCAATTCTGTATGCAATGGTTGCACAATTAAATAAAATAATTATATCTTATGTTGCACACACACACACACACACACACACACACACACACACACACACCCACGCACGCACGCACGCACGCACATGACATACATCTTCTGTGCATTGATCAAAATGAAATATAACCCAGCAAACGAGAATGGATTGAAATGAATTGAAATGGTTTCAGATTTTCAAAAATATTAATTCACGAATGTTAATTATGAATGGTTTTCAATCCTGAATGCATTTTTATTCACTTATAGGAATTGTATAGGAGCATCTATATGCCTTTCAATCTAAAAATAATATTAGCTTTTTCTGTGCACAAACAACACATTGTGAATATTGTTCAATTCAAAATTTTGAATAGAAAATGAAATTTTTCAATTCAATTGCATTCAATTGAATCTAATTGAATCTAATTAAATCCACAATTAAATCTCCAAAAAAAGTATTCGCTATTTACAATATGCATTCGAATAGAAAAAAATTTCAATCCATTTTAATTCATTCTGATTTGCTGGGTGATGTTGGGCTTGTCCTTATTCTCCTTCACTTCATCTTACTCTTCAGAGTCTTCTTCTTGTACTCGTCAGAATTCGGCTCTTTAGGCAATGGAGGCATGTCCACTGTTAGATTAGACGCTGATTTCCCCCTAAAAATGCAAATGATATTAACAGATTAATCACAATCGTAGTGTAATATGATTATATATACAATTATATTATTATTCTGTCAAATCTTTGCATATACCAAAATTATATTTATATGATTTTTTATAGAGAACTTTTTAATTAAACATAGTTGTTTTAAAAATAACTGTTTGTATCTTATTACACAAATAAATATTTTTCTTGTTAGTAAAGAGAAGGATTTAAAATGAATTGAATTTTTTTTCTATCCGAATGCGTATTTTATATATATATATGTAGAGCGATTATTGTTTTTGGATTTAATTGGATTCAATTGGATGCAAGTGGATTGACTGTATTTGCTATTCAAAATTTTGAATTGAACAGTATTCATAACGTGTGTGTTGTGCACAGAAAAAAGCTAATATTATTTTTAGATTTAAAAGCATAAAGGTATGCTCCAATTCCTATAAATGAATAAAAATGCATTCAGGAAAAGCATTCATTTTAACATTCGTGAATTAATATTTCTGAAAATCTGAATTCATTTCAATTCATTTCAATCCATTCTCGTTTGCTGGGAAAAATTTCAACTTATCAGAAACTGTGTAGTCCATGATTTCTGATAAGTTAAAATTCTTATTCTCTGTTCCCTGTTCCTTTTATTGTCGGAGCTCCTTTATCAGCAATGCCGACAATGGGCAAGTTCAAGATGACAAAGCTAGGCATGCTTGCCGAGCGAATGAATGAACATAATTGGTTCTTAAGCCGGTTCTACATTAATGCAAGCCGATCATTTGTTGCGATAGTCAATCTGAAGCTTGCATTTTGAAATCAACACTTCATATTGGCTGTCGCAACAAACTTGCGATCGGCTTGCAACTAATGTAGAACCGGCTTTATCTGTGGATCCAATCAATCATGTTTAATTGTTTGGCGAACAGACCTAGCTGCATTATCGACTTGAACGTGCCCAATGTGATACGTTGTTCACATCATTCTATAAAATTGGTGTTGCTAATGGTACGAAAACTTCTAAAGCCTTATGTCCACGATGCTAGAAATCGGTCCGAAATCTTGGGCAGAGAAAAAATTAACAGATCACATTTAAATAATTTGATCACATAACCATTGTGATTGATCAATTCTTTCTTCATCCGAAGTCTCGGACCGATTTCTAGCATCGTGGACAAGGCTTAAGCGTCACAAAAAAGGCCGAGATAGCCTCTCTCAGAGGTTCAGGTTTATCTATGGTTGAACTAGAATGTTTTCTCCATTGAATACGGTATTTATATCATGGTCAATGTTGGTTTATATAGCGCATCTATCGAGACAGGTTTGTTGTCATATTTGTTGTTTAATTGTAATTGATTTTTGGTAATCGACCATTCATTTTTTCTCTTTCTTTTTAATTTGAAAACGCGACAGTATCTCGGTTATAATAGTTATAATTACTTCAAATTTCTCTGGTAAGGTTGTATCAGTTGTATATCATGTTATCTCACCTTTTACTAACATCTAAACATTGTTCAAATTCAACTTGTAAGTGCAATAAATTCATTATATATCGTTATATATTTTAAGTGCAAAATAATCAACATGAAACAATACAGTTTTAGGTAACAACTATCAAAAATGTTATCTGCAATCGTCAAAGAACACCAGAGCAAGCAAGCTGTGAGAAAAGAAAGGCAAGGTAAAATATGTAAATTATTTAATTCTATGTTAAAGATTTTTATGATGATTTCTAAGTATAATCTCTTTAAAACGTGTGAAATGATTTAACAGAGCAAAAACGGAAAGAGGCCGTTCAGGCTGCAAGCAATTTGACACAAGCCCTTGTTGATCACTTGAATGTTGGGTAAATAAAATTTTTGTTTATAATTTGATCTAATTCATAGATAGGCATGTATAAATAGTGGAATATATACCTGCGTCCCATGTATCTTAAGTCTGTGGCACAAAATTGTACCACTTATTTTCTTGCTGGATTCCTAGCTGGATTAGAATCTTACTATTGTACTGGCTGCAGTACTGACTGTACTGAGCGTCGTAGTCAATATGGTGGTAAGAATTTATTCTAGCTAGCAATTCAGTAAGAAAACAAACATTGTGTGCTGCTGGCTTTAATGATCAAAAAACAAGCTTATCATTTGCATATACATAATAATCAATTTTATAAACATATATACATTATACACATATATATGTATATATGATTAATGTTTTGTTGTTATCGTTGTTACAGTGTAGCTCAAGCATATTTGAATCAAAAGAAGCTAGATGCTGAAGCAAAACAACTACAACACAGTGCAACCAATTTTGCTAAACAAACTCAATTATGGTTGAATTTGGTAGAATCTTTCTCAAGCTCTTTAAAAGAAATTGGAGATGCAGAAAATTGGGCACGCAGTATAGAAGGAGATATGAGAACCATAGCCACAGCTTTGGAATATTCATACAAAGGTATAAACCTAATGAAATGTTATGTATAATTATATCTTTGTATGAAATAACTATATCTTTGTACAAAATGTATGTAATATATTGCGTATTTATTTTTTAGCCACGCAAGAGAATCAAAGTGTTGGCAATGTTTAAAGATATGTGATATGTAGGATATTGTTTTTCCTAAGTATAATATGATCAGGAGCAATATGAAAATTTTTTGAAATAATTTCATGATGTGAGTGATAATTTCATTTTGTTAAGATATAGAGTTAATGCGATTTAAGAAAAATGCGTTATCAAAGAAAAAACTATCGTACATAGTTTTTTTTTTATAGAATTAAATTGTATAGACATTAATGAAGTCTATTCTACAATGTGCTTTTTGTTTCCTATTTCTTGCTTTTTCCCACTTTTCCAACCGTTTTATCAAAAATTGCTTTTCTTACTACATGTTTCCTGTTTCTTCCGAAGTCCGTTAACTTTTATCTCAAAAAACCGGATAAGAAACAAAATATAAAAAAATAGCAAAAAGCAGAAAACAGAAAAACACATTGTAGAATAGGATTTAATGCATTTTTTAATTAAAAAGAACTATTGAATTGTTGAGAAGAGATATACATATTTTATTTAGTTCAGAATATTTCTGTGTTTCGTTAATTTTACAATTTCGTATATTATATAATAAATAACTACTGTTATAACATCATATCTATACTTATATATAATTTTTAGTTTTTTGTTTAATATGAATAGTCATAAAGAAAGATCTAGAAAAGCACATTATTTTAAAGTAAATTAGGGAAAATATATTCAATAATTTTTATGTAATTTATGGATTTTTTTCATTAATGTAGAATTATATTTATTTGATATCAAGATATTTCCTAGTGCGTGCGTGCGTCAAACATACTTTTTTAATCTATTTTCCAGGGTTTCGGTGGTAACTATTTAATAAGTTAAAAGTTAAATAAAAGTTATAAATAACTTTTAACTTCATGTAGTTACTTTTACACTTATTAACTTTATTAATTTTTTTAAGTTAATTAAGTTTTTTTATCTTACTAAATGCCAACTATTTTCTATCTTAAACATTAGAGAATTAGAGAGAGAGATTTTTTAGAAAAATTGCGTGAGGAACGCGACGCTTGTGCTCAAAGATGAATGTACAATAGTTGGATTTGCATTTAGGGAATGCGCTCAACGAGTGTGTGAAAGTCAACAAAGCTAGTATGCTTGCCAAGTAAATAAATATAATTAATTGTTACTTAAAGATTCAACCAATCGCATTCAATCGCTCGGCCAGCATGCTAGCAGTTTTGGCTTGAAAACACCCATTAGGTGCGTTCGGCATTGCAAATCGGAGGCGTTCGTTTGTTCTTTCACCTCGAAAATCGTTTGACAACTCGCATCTTTCTTCTACATATCATCTCATGACGACTATCTTACTAACGAATAAAGACTAACGAATATAAATGATATAACTTATAAATTGCAGAAATTTATTTTGCAATGTAGTATTTTATTTTAAGAAAACACACCTTGCATATGAGCTACATTCATGTATAACGATCTATTTTTAGTATATAAAACTATTATCAGTAGTAAAACGAAAGAAATTTTCTAGTAAAATGAAAGAAATTTTCAATTAATAGGATATTTTTTATTTATTCATAAAAATAAACAATTTCATTTTATAATCTAGCGTTACAGGACAGTTTATAGCTCTGTAGCGTTCAGAATTAATTCTTGGCACTCGGATTACTTGAAGATCACGTGATCAAACTCGCCATTTGCTAGCTTATATCAAATGTACATTGCCGAACACACCTATTGTTATTGGGCGAGTTCAAGACGGCAAAGCGGCTAGGCATGCTTGCTGAGCGAATGAGCATAATTAATTCTTACCTGTAGATCCAACCAATCATGTGTAATTGCTTGACAAGCAAACCTAGCCGCTTTGTTGACTTGAATACACCCATTGTGTTATACTATCTTTGTTTTACTAATGAGAGATAAAGAAAAAATAAACTATTATATTTACATGTAATTTTCAAAGAATTAGCGGCCAGCATAAAGTGGAATACAAAACTTTACTTACATTTTTTAAAATTACATTTCCTTTTTCTTTTATAATAACAGAATATGAAAATATTTATTTATGTAAAAATATTAAAAATCAATTTTTTATTGTATAAGAAATATCTTAGCAAACGAGAATGGATTAAAATGGATTGAAATTTTTTTCTATTCGAATGCGTATTTTTTAAAGTGAATACTTTTTCTTGGATTTAATTGGATTCAATTGGATTCAATTAGATTCAATTAGATTCAATTGGATGCAATTGGATTGAAAAACTGTATTTCTTATTCAAAATTTTGAATTGAACAGTATTCACAATGTGTTGTGGGTTCACAGAAAAAGCTAATACTATTTTTTAGGTTGAAAGGCATAGAGATATGCTCCAGGCAATTTCATGCAATATAAATGAATAAAAATGCATTCAGGATTGAAAAGCATTCATTTTAACATTAAATCAATATTTCTGAACATCTGAATCCATTTCAATCCATTCTCGATTGCTGAGATCTTTATTATTTCATATGATTTACAAATATAAAATATTAAAGAATGCGTCCAAAGGATATGGGGCCTGTTCCCCCAATCCAGTTAGAGACAGTTGAAACAGGCATCAAAGGAAATATCTCTATGAATTTAAAACAGGTATACAAAGTAAATAGGACAACGCAATTTGCATGACAGTATCAACACTTGTTAAGCAATCCAGCCTGTCTTTGGTGAGGTCTTTTTTTGATCCTTCAACAATCTTAAGTGATCTAATCGAACTGTTTAATGAGATGTAACACGTGTAATGCAGGTATAGACTTAAAATCGGCGTAAACGCGTATAGAGTATAAATTATATACTAAAAGATGGGATTAGCAATTGTATGTAATATATTGTAAAACAAGTTATAAGCATAACTTGCAACAATTAATTTGCAATGTATTAATCTGCAATGTTATATAAACGGCATTCACAGAAATCATAGGACTAAATCATGTGGCCTTCCAAAAGTATCATAGATCTATACTTATATTATGATGTGAACGTTAGTTGAAGGCCTACTTTAGCTCATAATATAGAGGAGGTCGCACGGTGTAAACGTGGCCAATGTGTGTAGTAGGAGCAAGTAGGAGTAAGCCTTGTTCCATGGAGGCGGTAGCCGCGCGCGTCGATCGCGAACGATCAGTCGACTATTGACACATTGTCCCAATATGGCGATAAGGTGGAAAACGACGTTCTCGCGCATCGTGCGTCGTGATCTCATTCCTGTGCAGTGAGATTTTTCCCAGGTAATTATTCACATCTCATTATTCACGTATATTACAAACGGATGGTGGAGTCGCCCCTGGCAGAACCTTTTACCGTTTCTTCAAACCCTGTTCTGTCATTTCCGTTTTGTCTGGTCTTGCCTGACGTCTGCGTTTAGAAAAACAATATGTGACACGTTAAATTATTAATAAAACGACTGCGGAATGAACAAAAGGATCAATCATTATTCAATCGAGTTTCTTTATGTGTTGTTTAAAGGATAACCATAATTTCAGTTCAAAACTAATAACCTAGACACCATAAATTGACAATTTTCTAATCTATTGTAAAATTCTATAGATTCCATGAAATGTAAACATATAAATTAGTTTTTATGATAAATTGATTACCGTGTTTCCAGATTGTACATATATTTATATCTTGTATTGCACTCGAATTAAAGTTGTAGTTATTATCAAATTATCTAAATTGATTTTGTTTGTTTACTCTGTTTATTTAAGGAAGATTAATCTATTTTTTTCTTTAAATTTTATATTAGTATATAGATTAAGCAAAGATATAGAAGTAATTAAATTGAGATAAATTTATCATTTGATAAATTTATTTCTTATCTTAGAAAAGAAATTCAACATAAATGGACATTCTCAAGTTCAGGATATTGAACCTGATCAGAAATTTTTTCGAAAAGTTTATAGAAAAATAATTGGTTTATTGTAACTAACATATATTTCTTCTCGTTACATTTATTAAATTAGCATTATTTGAATTAATCAACACTGATTTGCTCCATAAGTTATCTATGTTATGTTGACTTTCATTATATGCTTGTGGAGATTTTATAACATATTTTTATTTTTAGGTTTAATTTGAAATCTGTCACTGGTAGCAATAACCATGGTATGAGCCTTACATCAGATGAAGTAGTGTTAGACAATAATTAACATTCTTAATCGCTGTACCTTTACTTGGATCTCTTTGAAAGATGCCAAGTTTACGGAAGAAAGTTGCCGGTTTCATGCGCCAATTGTCTATCAGCAACTTGGCCGGGGCTGTGGAAAGTATAGGCCTTGGAGAACAGACACTTCGAAGCCCGCAATCATTAACTCAGGATTTTCCTGGTGGCTGTTTCATCACGCGCTACCTCAATGGGTAAAAATAAGTCACACCTGAATATTTTTATATTTTTTTACTTATTTATAATGTATTATATGTTATTCTCTAATTAATACGTCTATTTTAATCTTCTTAGACTAGAAACAAAACAAGAAGGACCACCAATTTTACATGGCCGAAATCCAGAAGAGTTGCCAAGCAAACAAATTGACATTTTTCAAGAAAATGAGGAAATATTCGCAGCCTACACTGGTCCTGATAGTGGTCTTACAGCAGTCAATCTTCAACAGAAACATTTAAGTATTAGCGATACTGACATTGATTACATTGATATGTTAGATCAAAATGAGCAATATAGAAGTGGTAAGTCTAAAGCAAAGATATTACTGAAATAGATTTTGATTTGTTACAAAATAAAAATACAAAAATTCTCTTAGGGTCAACAACATCAAATATAACAATTGCTGGAGTAACCGATTGGTTTAATCCTCACGAAAATGCATATGGAATTGCAACTACTTTGTATGAGAAAAATCCTACAAACGATACCAGCAATGGAGAACCAATAGCCGATTGTTTTGGCATTGTAGCAAGACCAAACTCTGCCATATTGGCTCTTGCAGATGGAGTCAATTGGGGTAAAAACATAGATTTAAAACATATATATTCAAATTATAAAAGAGATAAAAGTTGGAACACAATAAAAGTTTTGACAGATGTATTTGTAACTTTCACATATATTCAATGAATACTCTTGAATTTTAAGTATTGAAATTTATTTAATATCTGATAGAAAATAATTGACAGAAAAATCTAATTT